ACTGAAAAACCGTAAGCACGAAGCTTAGTGAGCTCCCCAACCTACCACATACCACATACATAACCACATACTAGGCCCCCGCCTGCTGCATCGGAACTTGCCAGGCATCGGACTAGCTCCGGCATCGGGCCCCGCTCGGCATCAGTCCCCGCCTGGCATCGAGCCCCGCTCGGTATACAGATCTGTCTTTCCTAGGCCCCGCCCGCTAAACATATACAACACATAATCATAGCACATAACACATAAGCTAAACACACTCTACTGTATTCCTGTACTAAGGCCTCGCCTATCTTGGGCCCCGCCCCTGTCCTGCTACTGGTGAGTAGGGATGAGATTTGGAACCGGAATCGGACCGGAACCGAAACCGTTAGAATCGGAATATATAGAATCGGTTCTGATTCCGGGTTTAAAAATTGGCTTTATCCGGGTTCCGGGTAATCCGGGTTTGGGTCCATCGGGTCCGGGTAAACCGGGTCTAAAAACCGGAACCGGTGTTAGAAACCGGAACCACTTTTAGGGCCGGAACCAGTTTTTGTGAAACGTTGAAAAGATGCATATCTCATTCGTTTCAACTTCGATTGACATGCAGTTTTTTCGAACGTGTATTTTAGAGTTTGTGCATGATTTTAGACTATAAATTTGTCATTTTTAGTTTTATATTCATTTACTTACAGTCCCCCAAAGTCGAGATATGAAAGCTGAAAATTTCTAGTTTTTCAGTTTTCTTGTATTCTGTGAAAGTTTTAAAACACGCATATCTAATTCGTTTGAAGTCGGATTGACATGTGGTTTTTTCCAACTTGTAGTTTAGAGTTTGTACATAAGTTTAGACTATAATTTTCTCATTTTTGGTTCAATATTCAATGATTTACAGTCCCCCGAAGCCGAGATATCAAAGCTGAAAATTTTCAACTTTTCAGCTATTTGTTTTTGTACTTTACATTCTGTGAAAATGTTAACACATGCATATCTCATTCGTTTAAAGTCGGATTGACATGTGGTTTTTTCCAGAGTGTGGTTTAGAGTTTGTACATGATTTTAGACTATAATTTTATCAATTTTGATTTCATATTCAATGAGTTACAGTCCCCCAAAGTTGGGATATCAATATAAAAATTTTCAAAGTTCAACCCACTAAGTAGTAAGTAATTACAAAAAATTCCGGGTTTTCCGGTTCTAAACCCACTTTATCCGGTTCCAACCTACCCACTTTGATGTTTCCGGGTTTTCCGGTTCTAGACCCATTTTACCCGGTACCGTACCCGGAACCGAACCGGAACCGGTTCCTATATACCGGTCCGGTATCCGGTTCTACAAAATCCCGTTAAACGGTTCCGGGTTTTCCGGGTCCGGGTCCATCCGGTCCGGGTTTGGACCCACTTTCATCCTTACTGGTGAGTCATGGAACCTCGTCCATGCTCCTGCTGATAGTGAGATACGGGCCCCCGCCCACACTCACCTCTCTCCTATCTCGGGCCTCGCCCCTGCTCTGCTACTAATGAGATACGGAACCCCGTCCATACTCTGCTAGTGGTGAGATACGGGACCTCGCCCATACTCACCTCCCTACGAGGCACATACAAGTATCACACAGACAACAAGTATAATCTAACATGAAAACATTCCTCGGGCTCCCGCCCGGCATCGGACTTTGGTCCGGAATAACATACTAGCATACAGTGCCTAGGGCTAACCCCCGGGTCTTCCTACTCATAAACTACATGGGCCGACATTGTGGCCGTAGACCCATTCACACAGTGAGGAGACTCACCTCTCACTGTTGAACCCTGCTGATACTCCTCTGGCTGCTGACTGGCAAATTCCCGAATTGCTGACCCTTCGGCTTCCCAAACTACCAATACCAAACATCACTTAGACTACAATGCCCTAAAAAGACAAACTAGGTCAAACTTGGTCAAAGTCAACATCCAGTTGACTTGACTCGCCGAGTTGGTCAACCAACTCGTCGAGTCCTTATTCTTTCAAAATGATACAACCCCCCGACTCTACTCGTCGAGTCTAGCAAGAACACGACGAGTTCACCTTCAACCATAACATCGGGACCATCTTCAACCGACTCGTCGAGTTCATCCTTGAACTCGTCGAGTTCATCTTCATCATATGATTGTGTCTAGTCTATGACTCGCCGAGTTCTATGAACAACTCGTCGAGTCCGTCTTCATGGGTTGGTAGATTGCCTTAGACTCGCCGAGTTCATCCTTGAACTCGTCGAGTACGAGGATCTTCAGGTCCACTATGAATCCAGACTGGCTGAGTTCCTTACTAACTCAACTTATACTTGCTACAGAAGGGTTTTGGGCAAGGAAACCGCCTGACTCGCCGAGTCCTATAAGTGACTCGCCGAGTCACTCTATGTCTAAATTTATTCAGACGATTTTAGTCGAGCACAAAGCATCCAGGACCCAGATCTAACCTTCTAGGGTCGGAATACACGCAAAGCTACTGCCTTTACATCCATGCATGGCCCTTTTTGCTCAAAAGGCCATAACAACCTCTCAAACCTTGCATGGGGAGTTCTAATGGCATAAAGCTTGCACCTTTATGCCATAACAGCCCTTAGTGGTGCTAGATCTGAAAACACAAGCCCTTGGGACGTCCATTCTTCTCATATTAGGGTTCTTGGACCAAACCCCCCCCCCCCCCAAAGTGACAAAGAAGTGATCTACATGAACAATGATCAAGGTGGAAGCTTTCTTACCAGAAAATGGAGGAGAATGCAAGAGGTTTCTGGATCTACTAGCCTCTTCTTGAATCCCCAAGGCTTCACCTTCTTCTTCAAGCTTCACAACACTCAAAAATGCTCACAATGGCTCACTAAGTCATGGATGGAACTAGGGTTTCGTTCTGGACTTGAGAGAGCATCAAGGAGGCTGAGGGAATGATAATATGATGCTTAAATAGGGCACAAGTACTCGAATTTAGGGTTTCCCAACCCAGACCAGACTCGCCGAGTTGGTCCCCCGAATCGCCGAGTCGGTCACTGAATCCGCGACACGGAACTCGCTCCTACTCGTCGAGTTCCTCCCTGGACTCGACGAATAGACCTCTTGACTTGGGGTTTTTTCCTTTCCTTTCTAGGTCTTCTGAATTCGGGGTATTACAGTTTGTATGTCTATAGACTGATATGTGATTATCTTATATATGCGCACATGTTGATTGGTGGTTGAGGCTCCTCGGCTTTGTGCGAGATCCAACAGACCTAGGCATTCCAACCCGATGGTTGTCGGCCGTGAGTATTCCATCCCGAGGGATGATTGGACTCGTAGTATGAGGTTCCAACCTGATGCTTGTGGGCATGGGGTATTCCATCCCGAGGATGACTGGACCTATAGTATGAGTGGCATTCCAACCTGATGGTTGAGGGACTGGGGTATACCAACCCGATGGTTGATTGGACCCATAGTATGCTGTTTGTGATTATATGTGTATTGTTGTGTGTATGGGTATTTTAGGGAAACTCACTAAGCTTTGGGCTTACAGTTTCAGTTTTGGTTTTAGGTACCTCAGATGATCGCAGGAAGGCAAAGGCGTGATCGTACAGTTCCTCACATTTTATGACTATGTTTCTGGGATACTCTGATATGGAACTATTTTGAAAACAAATTTGTAATAACTATTGGTTTCTAAATGTTTTAAAAAGTTTAAATTTGGCTTGATTTTTATGGATGTTACATAAAACATAAATGTCACTTTTATTGATAAATAAAAAGTTACATAGGATTATTTGAATTCCTAATACAAAGGTGCCTTAACAGGTAGGCATACGATAAACGATAGAAGTCTTCCAGTTGCTTCCTAGATCAACTACTGCTTCCGGGAGTGCAAACTTCAATCTCACAGTTTCTAGGAATACATGAGGTTTTAAAAACGTCTACATAATGTTGGTGAGCTCACAGTTTTGAATGTCATATCTTGGGAAAACTACAATAAAATCCCTATGTATTGCCCCTATAATCGATTTAGCCCCTATATTTGTTTTTTTTCAATTTAGTCCTAAATACTGGTAAACGTAATCAAAACGGGATATTTAATGGGTTAGCCGATATCTAACTGATGTGGGAGCTTACGTGGAAGTCATCATGTTAAATAACATCCTATGTGCCATTTAAGAGGGCTAAATCAATGAATCAGCCTCTTCTTCTTCATTCGACAGTCAAAGGAGCGAGCGATTAGGGCTAATTGGAAACAGGAAATCGATGTCGAGTTCGTCAAGCACCAACATCAGAATGAGCTATTGTGGAGATAGGGCTGGAATGTGGACATCATGGACACGAAAGAATCCAGGTCGGAGGTTTTTTGGTTGCCCAAATTACATGGTATAGAATCTTCAAATCTCACTCAGATTCTTCTATTCCACTAAAATTCCCATTCTTCTATGTTAAAAACATGCATCTTTCTATGTTATGTAGGATGAAGAGAAGGACTGTGGGTATTTTCGTTGGATTGACACACCACTATTGAATAAGTGGTATAAAGAAAGAATGTATGAATTAGGAGCTATTGCTAATGGGGGTGTAGCTATTCCTTTTAATAACCCTGTTAATGAAGTTGAAATACCTATTGATGGCCCTATTGCCCCTGTGAATGTTGATTGCCCTATTGCCCCTGTGAATGCCCTTGAACCTGATAATCAAATTGCAATGCGTGAGAATACACATGTGCCTGCTAATGAATTTGGATTCTGCAAGTGGATGATGGTTTGTTTCGTTTGTTTCATTGTAGGGATGATGTATGGTTAGTTTAGTGTAAGTTGTAGGGTATTATGGTATGGTAGGGATGATGTAATCTTTTGGTTTGTTATCATGATGTAATGGATAAATGTTCTTATGGATCATGTAATGTTTTAGTTAATGAAATGGCAATATGTTATTATGGCTTTCAAAAATGGTGTACACTTGACAAATATATATGCATACTTGTCAACTATAATAATTAAACAAAAAACTCCAATATGTCATTACCAACCATGTTAAGGGCATTCACAATGTTTCAATGTGTTTACAAAAGATGTACAAAAGATGTACACAAAATATGGCTATCAGTAATTTAAGGGCATACACAGAAGATGTACAAAAGTAGCATTCACAAAAGATGTACCAAAATACCCTTAATACCCTTACTACCCTTAACACCCTAACACCATAATCCAACTCCAATGTTGAATTTGTAGAAGTCCCAACACATCGCATCTTCTTCAGCTTGGTTTTAACAATCCTCTCAGAGGGCTTTCTTCTTTTCACAATCCTAAGGTGTACTGGTAATTCCTGGGTGTCATTAATGTCTTCTTCTTCTTCTTTAGTTTCTGGTTGTTCTGGTTGTGTCTTAGGGATAATTTCTTTAGCCCCATCTTGTATCTCAGTCTGAGGTGGATACTCCTCTTCCTGTAAAACATCAAGCAATTAATAACATAACTGAATGTTAACATTAAGGTAATATAGAGGGTTTACCATAGACATAGGAAGAACATGTGTGAGGATGTCTTGCAAGCAAATATGCCATGCAACCATGTGTGAGGATGTCTTGCAAGCAAATGTTCATAAGCATTGGGATTGACCTCTTTGATATCATCCATTTTCCTCAGAAATTCACTCTCTACAGTTGAAAAGGAAGCTGCCCATAACATATTCTTGAGCTCCACTCCAGTATAGGTCTTCCTAAAGTTAGCATATATGTGTCTTGCACACTGTCTATGCTCCACATTTGGTAGTACTTCCTTGGTTGCTTCAAGCAATCCTTGCAATGTAATAAATACATAAACATATAAGATGATGCTAAGGAAAAGTCATAAATATGCTAAGAAATTACAAACCTTATGTTCATCAGAAATTATAGTAAACCCTCCTCCATCTTGCATATTAAGATCCTCTGTGAGCAGTTCCAGAAACCATTTCCAATTAGCTTTGTTTTCAATGTAAACAACTGCCCAAGCAATTGGATAAACTTGGTTGTTTGCATCCGTCCCTATTGCTGTGAGTAATTTTCCTTTACATGTCCCTTTCAAGAAAGATCCATCTAGACCAATTACCCTACGACACCCTATTTTCCAACCTTCCTTGATTGCTTTAAAACACACATACATCCTGTGAAAGTATGTTGTTTGATCTGGATTGACAGTGACACCCACTTGGATAGTGCAACCAGGATTTGACCTTAGTAATTCATGACAATAATCCCACACCCTAGCATAATGGTCTCTGAGTTTAGCATCTATAATGCTCATTGCTCTACACCTTGTTCTGTAATCCTTAGACCAAGACACCCCACCATGAAATTTGGTCCTAATTATTGATTGCATCTCCTTACACTTCAAGTTAGATTTCATTATCAACTCCTTCAAAAAGTGTCTTGCTAGCCATCTAGGACTCAGTAAATTTGAAATATTGAAATTTCTTACACATTTGTGCTCATCGACTAAGGTTTTTAATCTGAAAAGACCTTTCTTGAGTCATCCAGGAAGCATGAACTCTGAATGGACAAGGTTGAGACTTCATCTTAGAACCACATTTGGCAATTAATCTCACAGTGTCACACTTCGCAAATTTAATGTTATACCCTGACTTAATAGCATAATTAGTGAGACATTGTTGCAACTGATGTGGTGATTCATACCTTTCACCAAGAAGGGGCTTCATCTTATTCCACTTAGCTGATGGATCGTGAATGGGGAAGCTTGAACCAACTGCATCTCCCAAATGAAGATCATTAGCCCCTGCTGTGTCATCGATTTCCTCTTCTGACCCAAACCCTTCTTTATCTTCATCAGCAACGTCATTGTCTTCATCGGCTTCATTATCTTCATAATCAGAACTGAAGTTAAAGAAAGCATCCTTGCATCTCTCTTTACCCTATGTCTTGAAATCATCTTCTTCCATTTCCACATCTATGTGCTTAGTATCGAGCACCTCCTCATCATCTTCGTATTCTTCAGAGTTGTATTCTTCAGATGATTCATGGTGAACTTCCTCTGATTCGACAGCCATTGGGTTTTACCTTCGTTTCTCTCAGTAAAACCCTCTGATTCGACAGCCATTGGGTTTTACCTTCGGTTCTCTCAGTAAAACCCTACTTCCTTCATCTGTAAAAACCCTAACTTTTTCTCTCAATTGATTTACCAGACGACGAATGCAGTGGAAATGGAAGGGTAAAACTCTCGTGTACACATAAGGTGCCACATGCGCATAGTACCGGTGGGATACCAGCAAACCCATTAAAAATCCCGTTTTGATTACGTTTACCAGTATTCAGGACTAAATTGCAAAAAAAAAAAAAAAAAAAAAAAAAACTATAAGGGCTAAGTCGATTATATGGGCAATACATAGGGACTTTATTGCAGTTTTCCCTTATATCTTTGAAAATACTTTTTATGCGTAACTTTATTAAGTTATAAAAGTATTTTGATTTATATCGTTAAGGTATCTTCTAATAGTATTTTACTATTTCTAGATACTAAACTTTTAACACTTTATTTTCTATCACATACTACCATTCTCTTTAGATTTTCTCCTATCAAATGGAGTATAATATAATCTTATTTGTAGTATTCTTATCTTGTAAGCACATACCGCATATACTTTATATTTCAGAAGTATTCCCCTTGGATACTTCTGTTATCATCTTTTATCCCAGAAATATGCTTGTATAAAGCAATACTTCTATTGAGAGTGATTATATCTTTTATTCCAAAAGTATGTCCCTTTAATTTTATATTTGATAATTATATCTTTTAGATCTCATAATTATTTTTGTATATATATGTATATATTTTATTTTTCGATACATATATATACCCTAATTATGGTTATTTGGAAACAGGATATTTGGGCAGAGTAAGAACTAGGTATGGTGCCTTACCCTAAATTTGGCTAGTGCTACCGTTGGGTTCAATGTTGCTCTAGAGGTTCGACCAAAGTAACAACGACGTATACTATATGTCATTATTTATATAGGTGGGGAAACGATGGCGTATAAGATTTATGGATATCTATACGGGCAGAGTATCAACGACGTACACTAAATATCACTATTTATACGGGCGGTTTACCATTTTGTGTAGAAGCATTGATGCATAACCCCCTCCGAAAATGAGTATTGAGAAGATTTGAACCGAAAACCTCTCTATGGAAAGATTTATATAATATATTAATTATATTAGATTTAAGTTAAGTGACTATGTCTATCAGCTTATGTATGTTGTTTACCTTAAACCAAACAAATCATCGTTATTACACAAATAATATTTGGGTTCATGGGTCAACTCGTCAACATGTGAACCCGAATCTGACCCGCAAACCCATACAACTAAGCAAGTTAAACGGGTCGTGTTCCGATTGATGTTTCCAACCCGTGACACAAATAATTATATTGGTCGTGTACAGGTTGATGCATTCTGACCCGTCAACCCACAACCTGAACACGACAAGATCACCACTTCGCAAGGTTGTAGAACTCGCTACTCGGTATCTGTTCGGATGACTGCCGAGTAGCGAGTACTCGGGAGTACTCAGGGTGTAACACCCATAAAAATTGAGTCAAATTAAAACATTTTCATTCATTCAAAAACCATTAACTTCATACATCTCGTTTTCAAAATAGTTTATTATCAGAGTATCCCCCAGAACCATATCATAAAAATCGTAAAACATGAGGAGCGGTACGATCACACCTTCGCCTTGCCACGATCTCCTGAAGTACCTGAAACATAACACTACAATTGTAAGCCCGGAAGCTTAGTGAGTTACCCCCAAAATACCAACCACACATAACATACTCATATCATATCACAAATAGAACAGCCACGCACATCGGGTCTACTGTGTGACTTGTCCGCCCGCACCGGGCCTTCAGTCCACCTGGTCCACCCTCCGAGTCTAGCCATGTACGTCGAGTCTACAGTGTGATTGGTCCGCCCGCACCGGGCCTTCAATCCACCTGGTCCACTCTCTGAGTCTTCAGTATGACTGGTCCGCCCACGCCGAGCCTTCAGTCGGCCTGGTCCACTCTCCGAGCCTCGGCACGTCTGGTCCGCCCTCTTGGGGCCTTCAGCCTATCCGGACCGCTCGCTGGGCCTTCGGAATATCCGGTCCGCCCAGGGTATGTTGGCCTACAGCACTAAGCAGGACCCGCCTCAACCCAACCCCCGTCAAACAACCATGTGCACATAAAACAATCAATCACATAACAAATCTCTAACCAGACAAGCAGTCTAACAGATCACATAGCATATCAATATCCTAACCATGATTCCGACCAAACCGGTCACTAGCATAACATTACCCTATATCCCGGGTACCGACCTTAACCAGGTCTCTAACGCATACCATCCTAACTACCAGGATGCAACCATAGCAAAGCAATAACATAACAACAACTACCCGGATTCCCATCTGATAAAGGGCCGGCCTTGGTGCCGTAGACCCTGTCGATAAAGTGAGGATAACTCACCTTGTGGCTGCCGAAATCCTGCAAATCTCTGACTGCTGACCCGCCGGGAATCCCAACTATCACATGCAAATCATCACATTAGAATCCATCATGACTTTCTAGGCCAAGGGCCCACAACACTCATTAAGTCCATCATCCTCTTATTGGGCCAAGACCCAAAACCAAATTCTCATGCAAAGCCCAATATTGGCCCAATTTACTAAATTGGGGCCACCTCACCAAATGGGCCTAGATCCAAGGTCCGTAATAATTATTGGGTCTAAATCATTCCATCCATAATGTTCAGTCACGGCCCAAGCCCCTACTAGCCCATAAACAGCCCAATCACCTAAGGCCCAAAATCAAAACCCAACAGAGGGCGTACGCTGGGCGTACTCCTCTGGTACGCGGGGCGTACGCTCGTCTGTACCCAAAAATCTTTCCAAGTGCTTGATGGCTTAAGCACTTAAGCCCATATGCTAGATCCAGTGACAAAAAGGGCCTAGGACTCATAAAGTCTCAATCTTTATCCTTTTGGACGTCCATAAAGCTCTTAACTCAAGGTTTTAACCCATTAAGACCTTCCTACTTCTTATATGGGACAACCAAAGCCATTGGGACCTCATTTTTCTTACTCAAGACCTCTCTAATGGTCTGAAAGGACAACTCATCTTAACCAAAACACATCATACATCAAGATGGGGGGTTTTTGGGACAAGAATGGTGTCAAAACTTCACCATACATAGATCTACACAAAATAGATGTCAAGCAAGAAGCTTTATACCTTCAAGTGGTTGCAAAGTGTGATGCTATCTCGGATCTACAAGCTCCAGCCACCAAGTTTCCTTCTTGCCAACCTCTTCTTTCTTCTTCTAAGCTTTCCTTTGCCAAACTAAGCTCCACAAGGTCAAATATCCACAACAATGGAAGAAGAACGGCTACTTAGGGTTTCTGTGAGTAAGAGGGCAGATATGGAGGCTAGGGTTGGAACCATAATGTTCCTTATATAGTGGCTGGCCCTAAAATTAGGGTTTTAAGACTCTGAGCGTACGCTGGGCGTAACTCTAGTACGCTGGGCGTACGCGTCCTTGCACCCGCGGTCATTCACCCTATTACGTTGGGCGTAACCCAGCCTACGCTGGGCGTACCCACGCGTGTCCCAAAGGCATGCATGGCCTTCCTCGTCAACTTTTCCCATTAAGGGCTATAAATTTCAATATCTTCAAAGTGTCATAACTCCTTTATTCTAAGCCCGTTCCCGACGAACTTTATATCCACGCAAAGGTGGCGAGAAGCCCTACGCTTCTATCAACATACCCCCGTCCGAAACCTTCCCGAATGAAACACATTGCCCACAAAAGACCGAAACGCCCTTACTCTTGATCTCGGAAATTCATAAATAAGTACTTTTCGAACGGGGCGTTACAATTCTCCCCCACTTAAATTAGGCTTCGTCCTCGAAGCCTGCGGCAACACAAACTTCCGGATGATACTCCTACAATCCATCCACTGATCTCAAACCGGCTCAGTTTCCCTCAAACACAGGTATCGAATCTCTAAATCCATCTCTTCCCTTGCAGGGTTCCGATCAACTGCTTCAAGCCGGTCACCGACTTCTTTTCTCTGATGACAACGCTCATCAACTGAGTGCCACCTGAAGACACTACCTTACTTCTGTCCCAATCTCCAATCGGGAATCCCTTACCTTCTCCTCTTCCAAGGAGTCCGAACACATGCATGCGCATCATCCAACATTGCCACAACGGGCATCTCAACGGGCATCCAACCCGTATGTGCTTCCATATATCTGGTACAATCCTAGTGCTTACTACCAATAACCGAAGCATCTTCGATCATCCTTTTACTCTGCATGCCTTCCTCTCAGATGACCCACACTCCTTCCGGAGCTACATACCTTTCCTTTCCAGGAAGTCTACTCATCAACCCTTACCGCACCTATAAGTGCCACAGAGCTATACTCCGCTCTACACTATCCATGTAGAGCAACCGTTATTCTCTAACTCCCATATACTCTGAATCCGATCATATAACTAACAAGGCCCACGCACGACCTCCAGCCATCTCCATCATCATGATCAATACTTGGGGCCAGACCATATCGATTACTACTTCATGGCGACATATTTACTCATCCTCCTCATATCGATCTACTATCACATACAGAGTCTTCAGCATGACTGGACCGCCTTTCCAGGCCTTCAGCCTATCTGGACCACTCTCGGAATCTTCAGCATGTCTGGACCGCCCTCCTGGGCCTTCAGCCTATCTGGACCGTTCCCAGAGCCTTCGGCCTGACTGGTACGCCCACCGGCCTTCAGTCTATCCAGACTGCTCAAAGACTGTCGCACATCACTCCGATCCATTCCTCCCGGGAATCTCTCCCATGCAGTCTGTTCTAGCCCTCTTGGGGTTCCGAACTTCAGTTCCATTCCCGGAATCCTTTCCATGGCCTAAACCCAGGCCTCACATCGACCAACTACCTTAACTGAAATCATGGTCTGTTCCCTGCCCCACTTGTCTATCACTTGTTCTAATCATGCCACACTCTCGGCTAACAACACTGATAAATCTAAACAGCTAACCAACCC